GAGATCACAACAACCCTCTGAAGCAGACACTATGACTATGCCTTTTACAATAAAAGTTTGAAGAGATTAAGAATTATGCAAAGTCACCAAGGGCTTAACATCCCCTTCCCAGACTAATATAAAAGAACCAACATTCAGCATATAGTCAGCATTGTGTACTCTCTGCTGCCACTGAAATTCACGACCTACACTGGCCATGATTGAACTCAAATCTTCAGTGAACCAAAGATACCGAGCCACATAGTTGAAAGTAACTTAAGTCCTGCAAATACTGTCCCTATTAAAGCAGCAATGACAGCCACAGTGTTTTTGTCTTACATACTCATTAATAAAGAAAACTTTGCACTTTAGATGGTTGTTGTTTTTCTTTCTGAGGTTTTGATGCACCTAGATAAATGGGCTCCTCTTAAAATTCTAACCCATGCCTTGCATTAAAATGGCTGGATCTGTCAAATAACCATCTACAGTGCCGAAAGCTGTTCTAAGATCTTGACGTGCATTATTATTCCCTTCAAGTTCCATTCAACCCTTGGTGGTATGTTTTCATATTTCAAAGGAGAAAACTGAGGTACGTCAAACTCGGAATAACTTGCCCAAGGCTACAGAGCTTGAAAGGGTAGGGCTGACCACCAGCAGTCAGTGTCTGCACATCTCTTGCAAGCTCTCCAGCTTCCAACACTGTAACAGCTGAACACCCTGAGCCGGAAAGCCTAGGGGGTAGTGCCGGAACAGAGTTCTAACCTGGGCTCTGACACATCCTCCCTTCCTCAAAGGATAAGGGTCCTCCCGGCTTGTTCAGTTGCTTAGCCCTCCCCACAGCGCCTTCCTGCTTCTGGGCCTCCCGCCACCTCGCCCAGCCTGGCTGAGCCTGCATTCAGCGGATCCCAGCTGCAGAGAGACTTCTCTAGGCCCCAGGCTGTGGCCCCTCCTCTGCTCTCTGTCCTCTCTAAAACATCACCGCTGTTCACTGCAATTAAATCATCCTTTGATCAATTATTTGTTTAGTGTCTATTTCCCCTACTTCATTGTCAACAGTGGGGGTTCCAGAATATTTGTGTAGGTGGGGGGCCAGTGATCTGTCTGGGTTGGGGGACCTGGCTTTCAGTGCTTTGTACTTGACAGAAGGCTGAGAAATATCAATTGAACATAGAAATGAATGAAGGTGCTGCACCCCTCAACCCCACCCCCACCACGTTGTCATCACTGACTGTGAGTTCCACCAGTGTAACAATAGTGTCTATCTCTTTTGTCACTGAAACCCCGACACCTTGGCACTTGTCTGACACACAGGAAGTGCATAATAATTTTTTGTGGAATTAATAAATAATTAAAAGCCTAGGGTGTCGAACTCAATCAGAGAAGGGGCCAAAATCTAAAATCCAGCCTAAATCGCGGGCCGAATGGTTTACTGAACAGTCATAAACTGTCATTGTGATGGAAACGCAGCGGAGTGCAGTGCTGACAGCACGGTGCGGGCCACATTGCAAGGCCTGGCGGGACGGATTTGGCCCTCGGGCCTTGTGTTTGACACATGTGGCCTAGGGGCTTGTACCGGAACAGCGTTCTCACCTGGGCTCGGACTTCTTATCTGAAAGAGAGTAATGATAAGACCCAGACACAGCTTTTTTGTTGTTGTTAATCCTCACCCAAGGATATTTTTCCATTGATTTTTTTGCAAGAGTAAAAGGGAGGGGAAAAAAAGAATTAAAAAAAAAAAGGAGAAGGGGAGAAACAGGGAGAAACATCCTTGGGTGTGAGAGAGACACTTGATTGGTTACCTCCCCATACTCCCTGACCAGGGCCTTGGATCGAGGTACATGCCCTTGACCACAATTGAACCGGGGACTCTTCAGTCTGCAGGCCAGCCCCTGAGCCAAACTGGCTAGGACAGAACACAGCTTTTTAAAGCAGTATCACATAGGAAAACATGCTGAGCATAGGGCTGGCACACAGTAAGCACTCCATAGGTGTCTGTCACTGAATTGGAATTCCCGCCTCACTACCTCTAACTCAGCTCCTAGGTCCTCGCCAGGCCAGCAGTTTTAATAAGAGGGCACAGCCCAGAACTGAACCCACTCCACTCCCCTGGCTGTGAGCTGGTGGGGGTGACGATGTCTACACTGAAGTGAAAAGACTGAAAGTAGCATGGGCAGGTTGTTAGGATTTGCCTCCAGAAGAAGTTATACTTGGGGAAGAGACTGAGCAGCTTTGGAATGAACAAAGTCAGATCAAGTAGCAAAAAAGTCCAGCACAAGCCTACTAGCTGCCTGATCCAACAGAAAGGATGTGGGGTATTTAACCTGTTAAGGAAAAAAAAAATGTTTTGCTTTCCCCCCCCCCCCCCCCCATTTTTCATTTTGTTCCCTCACCCACTGGGCTTCGGTCTGTTGGAGAGACTTAAAACACACATAGCGTGTCACGACCTAACTTAAAAACTCAGAAGAGGATACTATCTGAACTGTTCCCTGGGCCAACCTCAACTGTGCTCTTCAAGCTGTTGCCAATGAAGTCTTGGGCCAGCACCTCCACGTCAGACTTGTCCCCACACAGGGGTTCCACCCAGGCTTCCTCTGCCTGACAAGTCTCCTCAACCACCCCCAGGCTCAATCCTTCCATCACTGGACTCAACTCATAACTCTCCTCTGGTTAGGTCCCAAGAAAGAGCAGAATATGGTCTCCAGTACCCTCCAGTCACTGAATCACACTCTGCTTAGGTATCACAGTCTCCTAGCTCACGACTGGGGGCTCTCCCATCTTTTCACCATCCGAGCAGCCCTGGCCTCTCTTTACCTCTTCCTTCAGAAAAGCTGGGAAAATACCAGCAATGGAAGGAACACTTCTTCTTGGCTAATTCCTCTAATAAAGGAAACAGGAGAGTAAACTCCTCCCCCGCCCCCAACATCCTTATTTTCTCCCATAGTTTAGAAAGGATTTATTTATTCCCATCCTTTTTCATGTTTCGAGTGAGTGAGCACTAGCTGGAAAATCACTGCTCCAACCTTCCTTTCTTAACATGCTTGAATGACGTGCAAGAAACAGGTTTTTAGGTTTGTGAGGTTGAGGGGTGGTAGCAGAGCAGGACGGACAGGGTAGCAAAGATCTAGAAAATCAGCGCTAGAATTTACTAGATCTCCCATTTACCGAGTGCAGGCCCCTTGGCCTCAAATTCTGTATCTAACAAATGGGAATAATGACATGGGAAGTCCTGAACAACTGTAAAATACTCTATTGTCCTCAGAGGTTTCCCCCCCCCCCCCCTTGGCTTTAATGAAGGTTTTGACCCCGAAAGGAAGATTCAAATTCCCCTAGGCAGGGCCTGCTCTGACCCCAGGAGCTGAGTCAGTCAGTCACATTGTAAAGCTGCATCCGAGTGGAGAGAATGCGTTTTAAGCGGGGACTCGGTGACCTTGGGTTCTGGTCTGGGTTTGCAAAGTGTTCCTCCGTTGCCTGATTCCAAAACCCCAGCCCTTGGCCAGACCTGGTGCCTGTCCTTGGCTCCTCTGGCAACAGGCAAGCACATCCGGTGGTGGCGTAGTTAGAAAAAGAGCCTCACAGCCTCCAGGGAAGCCAGAACACCAGCACGACAAATCTTACCGGGGATTCAGGCCCCAGCCTACCTCTTATTCTCGCATCAAAGCCACCCCCTACCCCTGCCTCCCCGGAGGCTACAGCCTCCTCGGTTCCTGGGCGGAGCTGGGCCTGCTGCGAGGGCTCTCCACCTTCCCTGAGTTAGGCCTAATGGCGGGGCCTTTTCTTTTCACCGGTTAGTCCTGATACGCTCCCCCCTGCCCTCCCCCCCTAAATCATTAACTGCAAAGAAGAGATCCTCGGCCTCTTCCATTTCCTCTGCGGCTCTAGAGCCCTGTCATTTAATCCCGTGGCCACCGCGGCAGCATCCTTTGCGCGGTCGCTCCACCCATCCACCTGGCCAATTCCTCGTCGCTCCCGCTGCTCCAGAGGGGAGCTGGTGGGGGCTGTGGGGGGAAGGCGCCTACAGCAGCAGAGCCTGGGCCTTCGGCAATCCGAGGCCCTCAGATCCGCATTGCGTGAGGGCTGGGAGACGCACGGGGGGTGTACGGGGAGCAGCTAGTCAGCGCAGCTCAAGGAGGACCGACGGACGCTGGGGGCACTGCGGACGTTACACTGGGGCGAGGGGAGAGGGGGTGCTACGAGGAGAGAGCCAGGTCTCCTCCGCCCAGTAGCCAGCATCGCCCTTTGGGGGGGCGAGGGGGAGATACTGGAGCCGGAAGAGGCCTCGGCCCTGTCGCTGTCCACACCCAAGAAATGGGGGAGGGGTGGTCGGCTCTCATTCAAGGGAGGCTCAGCCTCAGGAAAGGAACGAGATTCATTCATTAATCCCCACTCCGCCCCTCTTTGATATGAGCGTTTGACGTTTTCTTAATTATTGCTAAAAGCAGCTTCAAGACCCCTCCTCCGACGCCGCAGGTCTGGAGAAAGAGAAGGGCCCCCAGCAGGGGTCTTCCCGTTCCCCGCCCCCCACGACTGCCTGGGGCGGGTAGAGATCCCTAAATTTAGGTGTGTCCTTTCTCCCCCTCCCCCCCCCCACCCCGCCCAGCTCTCCGCCTAGGATCCAGAGGCCGCCCCCGCCCTCCCCCTACCCCTCCAGCCCAGGCCCGCAGTGGCGTGAAGGTGGCCTTTACCTCCTCTTGCAGTCTGGGAGGGGGCACAGCCCGCGCAGCTGAGCCAGCTGCAGCAGTCACCGCCGCCCTCCATTCATTTTTTAAAAAGGCGGGGGGCAACAACAACCTCTACTCGTCTTTGTGAAAGAACGACGGCCCCTAGAGGAGCGAGAGCCAGCCCCAACAATCACGGGTTAAGTTCTTTTCCGGCCCCCCATTCATAAAAAAAAAAAAGAAAGAAAGGAAAAAAAAAAAAAAAGGAGCTCGGCGCATGCGCGCGCGGGGGTCTCTTGTGCCCACCCATTCATAGAATCGCGAACGGCGCGCGTGCGCACTGGCGCTCCTTTCCCTCCCATTCATAAAAAAGCCATTTTCCCAGGCAGTGGTTGCAACATCGCCGCGGAGGCTGCGAGAGAAGCTGACAGCGCGGAGCTGGCGCTGCCGAGCGCAGGAAGCCGTGCCGGTTCCTTCAGCCGGCGTCTGCGAGGACAGTGGTTTCTGACCCGCTCGGGTTAGGGGATTTTGCACAGACGTGAAGCGATGCTTGTGATCCTGCGGCTCCTCAAAGTAAGTCCCTGGCCGGTTTCGGAATCCGAAACTGATCCACGCCTGAGACGCGACTCCCCTTTGGGCTGGGGCAAATGGTGCGCTATTTCTAGGCGCGCCTCCGTGTTCCTCCCCTCTCCCTGCGCCTCCCTGAGTCGCTGCGGTGCGCCGCAGCTCCCGGGCGCCCTGGGCTGGGCTGGGTTGGGCTGGGCCGGCACGGCGCTGAGGGTATTCGCAGCCTGGCACCGGCGTTCCCACCCCAGGACCTTACCAAGCCCGGCTTTCCCCTACCCTGACTCGGAAGCCCCGTGCGTGCCCCGGGAGTTTGCCTCTGGCCTGGCCTCTTTCCTCCTGCTACCACCCGCCTCGGGCGCTGGAACGGGAGGCTCTGGGCTGCGTAAGGAGCCACCTTTTGAGTCCGGCGGGCGCCCTCGCCCTGGGCGGCTCGCCCACCCCGGGCTCGGTGCCCATGGTGCCAGCTCTGCCGTAGGTCTCCACAGCCCGCCGCAGCGGCCTATGCTCGACGTAGGCTTTTCTTTCCCCTTTCGGAGTCATGACGGACTGGCTTTTCTCCTCTTCTGCCTTTCCCCTCGATGGTCAGCGCTGGCGCTGGCCCGGGACTGGGCATTTCTGCTCCCTCTCTGTGGCGAGGCGGTGCCTCGCCGTCTGACCTTTGCTCTGCTGCCGCTTTTTAAGCTGTGCAACTGCTTTGCAGTGAGTTGCCTGTCCTTTCCCCGGTCTCTGCAGGGCCTGAGGCTCCTCGGCCGCCTCCAGCCTCCCCATCCCCGGGCACCGAGCTGTGCCAGGCCCCGGGGCCCCCAGGCCGCTCTGGGGCTGTAGATGCGTTTACATAACGCCGGGCGTGTGGTAGCTGGAGGAAGAGGTTGCGTGCGTAGGAGAGATAAGGCTCCTGCTTTGCCCCTTCCTTCTTGGTGGTACCAGCTTGACATCCCTCAAGAGAGAAGGATTGAGACGGTACGTGCTGAAAAAACCTGAACGCCGAGGCCGCGGGTCAGTGAAGGGGGGCGAGGGCGCGTTTGGCCAGCCAGGGCAGCTGGAGCTTGGCCATCACTGGGGCCAGGGTTGTGCCCAGTTCCCCCTCTATGCAGACGATCAAAAAGCAGTTAGACAGTAGCTGTTCTTGTGCAAGAAGACGGTTTCTCAATTCTCTTTGATTGGGGGCTGGGGGTTGTGGGTAGAGGAGGCAAGAGAGGCAGAAAATGGTTGCATGGCTTGGAAGTAATGGTTGCAACCAATGGGAGGAGAAGATACTGGGCTGGGGCGGGGTGGGGGGGGGTGGGGGGACTGGATGGTTGGGGATAGGGGACAGCTGAGATGGGCATCCATATTGCCAGGCCTGGAAGAGGGCAGGAGGCAGCCTTATGGCCTATGGAGGCTGTGGGAGCCCCCTCCCACCCCCACTCCAGCATGGTTGATGCTGAAAGGAAAGGTGTGGGTTCAGTGGAGTGGCCAGACCCAGGAGAGAAAGCCCTTCTTTCCTGCTTCCAAATCAGTGGCGTTGGTTCTCTCCAGTCTGGGGAGGGGCGCGAGCCAGTGCATGTCTGTCTGGCTAGCTGACGGAGGCTCCCCAGTCTTTCGGATGAGCCTCTCGGAATGACAGCGCTGGAAGCTCGAGGCCCGGAGCCTGTAGGAAGTATGGGTTTATCAATCTCTTAATGAGCTCGGTCTGGCCTGAGGCCCTACCCAATATTGCACTGGTGATTTCACAATGTTTAGAGTTCTTTGGAGCTTCACACGAATGGAGCATAAACATCTGAAATCTTCAGCTTTTATCCCCCTTTTCGTGTGTGGGTGTGGGGCAGACTAGGAAAGGGAGGGCTGCAATTGGTGGCCTCTCTCTCTCCCCCTCCCCCCCCCCGCCCACCCCCCTCCAGAATGGTGGGAAAGAAGTTGTAGACATGTCCTGTGTGAAATTGAATTTCCTCTTTCCCAGCCCTTGGGAGGGTCCTCACTTGCCAGCAGGCTCCAGCGAATCCTAATGTGAGCAGTGCACACACACTGACCCGCGGAGCTGCGTGGCCAGTACTGGGTGGGGGGCTTTTGGGAGAAGGATTTCTGAAATTGTGATGGACACATGTTGGTCAGCTGGGGAGAGGAACACTTGAAAGATATCTCTTGGTTATCTTCCTTTTTAGATTCCGAACTCGGGAGTCATCCCCTTTTTGTGGAGTGCAAATGCGCTCCTCATTCCCATGACCTTTTCCACATTAGCCTGTGAGATGGTAAGGTCCAAAGCTTTGGTTGGGCTTGGTGGGAGGAGGCGGGACACACAGAATGGGATGATTCCTGGCTAAAGCAGGGCAGAGAGTGCGGATGGGGGGACCATTTGGAGCTCTCATATCATTTTTGTTTCCAACCTTCCAGAATAGGTACACAGACGAGGCTCTTTGGAGTTGCACTTTCTGTCCAGGCCATACTCTTTACTCCACCACCACACACACACACACACACACACACCATTCTGGTAAACCCTACAGTGCAGTTTCACTGATTTGAATAACAAATAAAAGCAGCCTTTCAGTGCAAAATTTGGTAGTCAGTGACTTAAAAATTAAGGGTGGAGGGAGGGGGGAAACCATTAGCACTCCCCCCCCCCCCGGAAGTGGCCCTTGAGGGGTGCTTAATACTTCAGCATCTTATATGGGGATTTCTCTTCCAGTTCCTGACGCCGAAAGTCCTTTGATGTGACATCTTCCAGCCCCCAGTTCTGGGCCCCCACAAACCATCCATTTGTGTAGGTCTCCTGGGAGTTGGTCCCAAGGCGGCTTAGAAAGGAGCCCCCTCCCTCTCTTCAGAGGAGAAAACTCCACGTTCTCAGACAGTCAGGGCACTCAGGGCACTCAACTGGTTCTGAATCCACAGTGGGTCCCTACTGGTGTGGAGGTTTCCTTGTGAGGAAAATGCGGGCGGAAGGGTTCTTGCACAAACCCAGATCCAGCTGGAAATGTGGATCTAGGATACAGATAAAGGACGGAGAATGGCTGGCGTGGATAAGGTTCCATCCCTTGGCCAGCCCGGATCTCCTTGACAGAAGGGAAAGCAATGACTCATTGGGACAGATTTTTGCTTTTTCAAAAGAGCCAGAGAAAGAAGGTGATAGAGCAACATGCTGAAAACTGTTTTTACTCCTTCCAGACCGCGCTGGGGGCTGGGTCAGAGCAGATGGTGGCCAGGAAACCTGCTGAAGCTGCACCTTAGTCTCCCGTCTGCAGAATGGGGAGGAACCACTCCCTCGGGGCCAGGGTCAGCCGAGCAGCTAGCAAGTGTGCAGGCCTGGGCCTGTGCTATTTGTTACTACTGGGGCCCTGGGGGAAGGGGCCCCTTCCTTACACAGGAGGTGTGGGGTGTCGCATGATGTAAGAGGCGGCATATTCTTGGCGCTCTGGTCTGGGGCCACCCTGCAGATCCGGACAGCTGACAAGGCCGTGGATGTATCCGGGACATGTGGCTGGGCTTAAGACGCTTCACTGTTCAGCTGTGATCACGATTGTTCTTTCCAAGGACAGTCGTGGAGGAAGCAAGGGCACTGGGGAGGGGAGCACAGATGTGCTGGATCTGGTGGAGGAGGGAAGAGGCCCTTCGGGGGCAGGTGGCCATTTGCCGAAGAGTGGTTTCCCTTGTCAGGTAGCCTTTTTTTCTGGCTGGGTCATTTCCTGCCCCTTCCCAGGGGTGAGCTCAAGTCAATTATGCTATGTTCATCTGTTCCTGGAGGTGGTAAGATAAAATGATCTTGGTGTCAGCGGAGGGGGCCCTCCTGGAGGGGGGGCGGTCCTAGGTTTCTGCACACCCTCCCCCACCACACACACACTGATATGGGCCAATTGTTCCAGTGTTAACAGACTTCTTCTCGCCCCATTCTTCCCTGACTCTTGACTTCTAATCCCTCTTTAAGGGGATCTGAGCAGCCAACAGTTATGGGGGTAATAGATGGAAGCTGAAATTTGAGGCCAATTAGAATAGCCCGGAGCCAAAGTATAAGACCTCTCCCCCCACTCCTCCTGGCGCTGGGCCTTCACAGCTCAGCTGATTGGTTGGGGAAGAGGAAGAGAAGAGGGTTGGGAGCTGATAACTGGTGATGGGACCGAGTGATGAAAAGCAGCTGTTTTCTTTTGTGATTGTGGCCGGAGGTGAGCCTCCCAGTGCTGGCGCTGGAGTGGGAGGTGGCGGAGAGCAAGGATTCTCAGACAGACCCACCCAGCTGCCTATGATGCTTTTTTCTCTCTCAACCAGGCCGTTCTCAGCAAAGCTGCAGAGATGGTCTTCCTCAGTAGGATTTAGGGCAGCCAAGTCCCTGGGTTTCCTCCCCTTCCTCTTGAAAGTCTTTTTGAAGCCCTAAGTCATTATTTGGTTGGAACTTAATTAACTAAACTGGGATGTTGTCACAAAGAACCAAGCGATAGTGGTGGGCGGGCTCTCTGGCAGACGAGAGACCTTTTTTTCTGAGCTGTGAAAGGGTTAAACAACCTCCGCCGAAAGGACCTGCTGAGCCTGAATGGGCAGTGCAAAAGCTGCCCATTCATTCAGAGCCTCTTCCAGTTTGTCTCTAAGAGACCTGTAGTTTTCAAAGCCTTTTCCCAATATTTCCCAACGCCCCTCCCCAGGATAAGTCAAGGGGAAGGGGTGGGTGGGTGGTGCCAGGATGACATTCACCACGCTCTGCGGTTCCGGTACAAACAGCGGTGTCAGGCTCACAGACTGGCCACACTGCAAGTTATAGGGCTGTGTGCGCTGTGGGCTTTCCGATCTCCTGCCGGTTCAGTCTGCTAGGACTGTTTTCCTGGCTTCCTGTGTCCCTGGCTGCTCCTTCCTTTCCCCACAGCCTTAGGCCAGGAAGGCCAGGATGCACCCTCCACAAACAAACCCTAGGGACCCTTTCAGTTCAGCTTTACAGGCAGGAGGAGAGGGGATTCCCTCCCATCCCTGGGACTCCTTGGTGGTTGAGGGTCCTCCAGGTGAGACCATTGAACTTTAAAAAAAAAACGGGGGGGGGGGGTGTGCTG